GCTGAAGAAGAAGCTGGGAAAAAGCAGCAGGTGGAAGGCAGTGTGGCTGTGGAATGGTCCAGGCAGCTGAGCCAGGTCATACAGACCAGACCATTTTGCCTGTGAATACCAGCCTCTTCTGTACAATGGGCATGGTCACTCATGACTGGACATAGCCTGTCTCAGAATATATTTGTTCTCTCTCCCTTGAGACTTCCCATGAGATATGATCCCAGGCCCCTAGTCAGGCCTCTCTCTGACTCTCAACTCACAGCCTGGCTGGGCAGGTAGGCAAATCTGTCGGCATCTATCCCTTGTCCCTTGGCCAACTGTGTGACTTTGGGACCTGATTTAGCCTCTCCTGGCATCAGAGTTAGGCCAGTTTTTCCTGAAGATGGGTCAGGGAATGGCTAGCTCTGAGACAGGATCTAAAGATCTCTGAATCTCCATGAAGAACAACTTCCTCTATCTCCCCACCCCTCTCACCCAGGGTTTGGTTTCTTAGGGTTGTAGGGGGCTGGGGCAAAGCAAAAGGGGAAATCCAGAAGCCCCAGGATGATGGGAGATGAGAGTAAATTTAGCTTGGGTGGCCCTCTGGAAGGTGGGCACCAGGAGGTCTACCAGGTGGCCAGTGTTCTGGTTCCCTTGGCTGGTTAAGGCTAATATATAATGTTCAGCTCTTAGTTAGATGTATTTCCCTGGTCCTTGTTCCAAAGGCACCCAGGACAGACTGGCAAATAGCTGAGAAGAGCATAAGGGATAGAGACCAGTGACCAGTGCGGCTGCACCTACCAGAGGAAGCCAGGTAGTATATAAGTCCAGCCTCGATGCTCCAGATGCGCATCAGGACTGGGAAGAGTATAGACCAGAGCCTCCTGCCTGGGCCTCTGACCTGCTCCCTACTCTAGTGCCTGTCACCCTGAACAGACACTGCCAGGCACATCACATAGAAGGCACTCTACATCGCTGGCAGACACCAGACAACAAGGCTGCTGGTACTGGTAACAGCCCTACCTGCTTTACCACAGTGGAGGCTGTGGAATTAGCTGACCTCAAGCCCAGACTCCATGACCAACTGGCTCTTCTGAACCTGATTTCTCAGTTGTAAAATAGCCATAAACGGTCCTGGCCTAACTCCTAGGGCTACTGCATGAGTCTCCTGAGATGGTCAGTGTGAAGAGCACGATGGGGCAGGAGGAGAATTAACTGAGCACTTCCCTGTGTGAGCGCTTTAAACTCCAATAACGATAATGCTAACAGGCAGGTACTACTATCGCCCATTTTACAGCTAAGTGTGCTAAGGTTCAGAAAGTCTAAGTCACCTGCCTGAGGTCACACAGCTGGTATATGGCAGGGCCAGGCAGGGCCCGAGGTCTATGTGACCCTAGACTGGGCTTTTCACAAACTGCCTACACCCGCCTCCCCTTGCTGCGCTCATGGCTTTGGGAAAGCTCCTCACAAAAGCCAGGGATTGTTGTCATTATTATTATTTTATAAACCCCAAGGTTATTGAGAAGTTTTCCTTTTCACTCTGCCTCTCTTTTTTCTTGATGTGGAGAAAAGCAAACTACACAGGCCACTAATTTCTGCAGTCTCAGACAACCAGAATTCCAACCGTCTGGGAGAGCCGACCTAAGAAAGCACGAAATTAATCTTAAAGTTAACGTCTTGGAGGCGTCGCAGCAGTATTTGGGTTGGACGTAACCTTGTTATCGTAATGCAGATGAAACCCCAAATTTAATAAGGCTAAGACAACTAGGACAACATAAGAAACATGACAGGATATTGCAAAGAGATTAGGGAGCTTCCTCGGGATGGCGTGGATGGGCTGCGGAGGAGGCAGGGCAGGGGAACAGTGGTGCCGTCGACCCGTCTACCCAGGCAAGCGAGGGGAGTTCCTGATGCGGAACCTGACCTGCGGACTAGGAGGCCTGGGCAGGAGGGGGCCAGGCTCCTCGTGCACCTTGAGGCCTGCTGGTGCAGGAGCAGAGCCTCCACGGGCTAAATGTAAACCAGCTGCCTGGGGCCGGAGCGGTACAGTTGGATGGGGCGGGGAAGGCTTACCTCATGAAAGAACTGTGGAAACGGCTGCTGGAAAGATAATAAAAGGATTAACTGCTTTTTTAGTGGGCCATTTACTCTTCAATCAAAGTGTCTCATCTATTTCCTGTTCTCCAGAGGCTCTGAGCCCAAAATTCCTTTGTCTATTACAGCACATGGTAGCAGGGGCCTGTCATGAGAAATTAATAATTTTACAAGAAAGGGAGATTTTATTTATTTGGGTACCGGTTGAGGCCCGCCCCTCCCCTGGGTTACCTCCTGAGACAGCGTCGCAGGAATGGGGAGCACCCCCTGGGGGGCAGGGAGGCACTCAGCTCTGCAGACAAGGCACCCAGCAGGGCTGGCCTCAGGACCCCAGAGGACAAGCAGTTTATTGGGACAAGATCTATACAAACAAGAGTATCACCAAGGCTTAGAAAGATGCGGGTTCAAAATTCCACTTCAATGGTTGCTAGCTACATAACCTTGGACAAGTTACTTTTATTGTTGTTGTTATGATTATTGGCCTCTATTATTTTTGTTATTGTTTGTCTATAGCTATGTGACCTGGGGCAAATTATGCAATCTCTCTGAGCCTCAGTTTCCTCATCTCTAAAATCAGGGTTAATATTATCTACCCCATAGGGCTGCTGCAAGAACCACATCAAGTCATTGCTTAGAACAGCCCCTGTACACTGTTTGCTAGTATTAATTCTAAACCCCTCAAGAGGCAAGATAAAGTGTTCAGACAAGAGCGTGCAGAGGGCCAGCTAGACTCCACTGAAGCTTTGTTTCTTTACCTGCAAATCTCTTGGTTTTACAGGACTCTTGTAACATTACCACGGGTAAGTATAGACACAGCGTCAATATCACCTCCTTCATGAAGCCCTTCTGGGCCTCCCTTCCCTGGGGCTACACAAACTCCATTTAAGAACCTGTCTCTGATCACCACTCCCATCTCCCTCCCACCCCTAACCATGAGTCCCTAGGAGCTCTGGGTCCCCAGAGCCAGGCATGAGCCACACATAACCCAGTATTCTGTGGAGTCTGCTGAATCAAATGCAATCCTGGCAGGCTGGCCCAGGAGAAAGAACCCTAGAGAGAGATCCTGAGACCACACTGAGTTACCTGGGCCTCTCAGACTGACTCCCTGGACCTCCATTTCCCAAACTGGAAAATGGGCGGAAGGCCTAGATCATCTCCAAGGTCCCTATTGTCCAACACAGATACTCCTGGGTGCTGTGATTCCACACAAAAGGCCCTGTTGGGTAAGGCCACTAACCACACTGCTACAGGGCCAGGCCATATAAGCCTCCATGTAGGCCCCCCAGACACTGGAGGGCTGACCACAGGAGAGAGGATGTCAGGGACTGGGGCTCAGCAGTGGCCAGCTCCAGTATCTGAGTGAGGGACAGGGCCCCTCTGTCTTCTAGGACCCCTGGCCTATGACATCTGCTGGTTATTTTTTTCTGGGCAAGCGCATGCCTTTCAGTAAGCCACCTGCCACAACACCTCAAGTGAACAGGGGCATCCCCAGGATGGGCTTGGCTGCCAGCTCTCTTTCCAGCATACTCTTGGCCCAGAGGCACAGGAAGAAGTCAAATTCTAGGCCTGCTCAATCCAGCCCCTCCCCACACACCAGCACACCAACCACAGGTTCCCTCCTATTTCTATTATTTTGCAGAGGTTGTTCATGGCTTCTCACTTGTCTATAAAGTGAACTTCTAATCCTCAAGACCCAGCCTCATTGAAGCTGACTAAGCTGGCCCAGTCAGATGCCCAGCTCCCAGCTCCCCAAGGAAATGGGGCCCCAGCAGTGAACACTTGGTCCCAGAGGGTGGAATTTCTGCTGCTGGTTGCCAATGCTTCCTGCCTCTTCCCTGGTCTCTATAAATGTGGCCCTGGGCTTTGAGCAGGGACAGAGGTGTGCCCTACCTCAATGCAACCATTCCCAGACTGAGCACTCCTCCCAGCAGGTGGGGCCCAGCAACAGTGACAGCATGCAAATGAGGAGGAATTTGACTTGGGTTGTAACACTGGCCCTGCAGACCAGACACACTGCTTCCCCCTCTGCCTTAGCAATGCCCCAGTGGCGGGAAGACTGGACTGGGCCTTGGTGGCTCTGCAGCCCTTCTGCTCTGTTGGGCATCTCCCCTGGTGGTATGCAAAGCCTTGGGGCATGGGCAGTGGTTTGGCTGAGTACACAAAGGACTAAATCTATATTCCCAGCCCCAATACGGATTTCCACCGCATGACAGCAGCACACAGAAATGACCAGTTGGAAGGGCTGGAGGCTCAAGTGCCTATAGTCAATGTGTATGTGTGTGTGTGTGTGTGTGTGCATGTGTGTGTGTGTGTGTGTCTGTCTGTCTGTGTGTCTGTCTGTGTGTCTGTCTCTCTTTCTGGAAACCTTAAGTTTCAACCCCATTCAGAACACTGCAGGTACTACCCAAGGTCTTATTTGCTACCCCTTGGCCTTATCCCAAAGCCTGCCCTGGAGACTCACAGCTCCCAAGTTGGTTGCCTGTGAAGACTTAAGGTCTCTTTGGAGGCAGCCAAGACTGTGGGGTGCCCTCCCTGGGAGGGATAGTGTTAGAGGAAAGCATGTTCTCTATGATTTACTTGACCACTGGTGGGTGGGACACTGAGCATTTGCATGTAAGGGAAGGCTAGCTGAGCCTGCTTTGACCTCAGAGCACTTGTGTCACCACCTGAAAGAGTGTGTGTGACACCCAGCCAAGCGGTAAGCCTTGGGGCCGGGGAGAGGCACCTGGTGAGTACGAGGGGCCCTCTACCACGATTCCCAGTGACAAGTGTGCTGTCTTGGCTAGTGGCCACATCCACAGCACTGGTCCTTCCTCTGTCAACCACAGGGGATCTCAGACAGGTAAGGAGACCCAGGTGGCCCTCTTCCAGGGCAGTGAGGTGGTGCTGCTTTTCTGGTTAGGTTGCAGTGTGACCCGGTGGCCTTGGGAACTCACCATGCATTTGTTGGGCTTCTCCCCCGAGTGCACCCTCATATGGATGAGCAGCTTGTAGCGGGCATTGAAGGGCTTGTAGCGGCGCACGCAGCCTGCCCAGAAGCAGGTGAAGTCCTCCCCCTTGCGCTGGTCGATGTGGCTCTTCTCGATGTGCCGCACCAGCTCCTCCTGCTGCTCATAGGCTGCACAGCAGTCCACCCAACGGCAGGCCTGCCGCCTGCCCACCATCCTGCCTGCCAGGCCCAGCCCCAGCCCTCCAAGGCCAGGGCCAGGTGGCAACTGAGACAGTGGGTATGGGGGCGGCAAGCCCTGCTGCAGAGGACCAAAGAGATCTGAAAACTCGTCCTCAGGCTCCTGCTTCAGGAAGCCAGCCTTTCGGCAGGCTTCAAGTTGCAAACTGCCCTCGCGGCTCTCCATGGTTGCAGGGCTGCGTCGGGCCCTCTTGGGAGGGCCCCCCAGGTCTCCTGGCAGAGAGGGGCTCCGGAGTCCATTTATGCAGGTGACTAGAGCTGTCTGGGAGGAGCGGATGATGGAGGTGACGTCAGAGGAAGCACATGGTGAGGAGGCAGCTGAGGAGGCCGGGGGCAGGCCCAAGAGGCAGCAGCGCTTCAGGCTGTCCTCAGAGAGATGGGCATCAAGCTGGGGGCCCAGGCTGGAGCTGGGTTCACTGCCCAGAAGGTAGCAGGAAGGTGCAGGGTTGGAGAGGCCTCTGCCTGGGAGGTCCAGGTCTGTGTGTAGGTCGGTCACTGGCAGGGCCCGACAGTGGGCAGACTGGGGGGCGCAAGCTTCTGTCATGGTCCTGTAGTCAGGCAGGGACTCCTGCTTGATATGCTGTGTGGCCGGGAGGCTGCCATTCACATATGTGGCCTGGGATTGGGGTGACCTGGAAGATAGTGACCAGAGAGGCCATGAGAGGGTGGGCACCCCACAGTGAGAAGATCTAGGCAGGGGGTGGTAGGGAACCTAAGGACCAAGGGGTGGAGAAGCCCAGGGCAGGAGAGGAGGTTGAAGGCTGGAAGCAAAGAGAAAGAGAGACCAAAACTGGCAGCATGGTCAGCAGGGAAGAGTGTGGGGAGAAAAATGGATGAGAAAAGAAGAGGGGGGCTGAGGAGATGTTCAAGAAAGGCCAGAGGTCTAATCAGGAGAGTGCCAGGAAGGAGCGCTGTTTCATCCTTTTACCAAATCCAGCCCACTCTGTCCAGTACTGGACACCATCCTGTCCTGTCTCTGAGACCTCACTAGGGTGTATTCTGCCCTGTCTCCATGACCTCCTGCAGGCACAACTTGTTTTGCTAGGCTTTGCTTTGTTGCACTTTGAAGATACCATGTGCTTTACAAATTGAAGGTTAATGGCAATCTGGCATCAAGCAAGTCTATCAGCAGCATTTTTCCAACAGCATTTGCTCACTCTGTGTCTCTGTGTCACCTTTCGGTAATTCTCAGAATACTTCCTTTTTTTCATTATTATTATATTTGTTATGGTGACATGTGATCAGTGATCTTTGATGTTACTATTACAATTGTTTTGGGGTGCCACAGTGTCCATTTAAAACAGTGATCTTCATTGATAAATTTTATGCATATTCTGACTGCTCCACCAACCAGCCATTCCCCGTTTCTTTCCCTCTCTTTGGGGGTCGCTAAGTCCTTCAGACACAACAATATTGAAATTAGGCCAATTAGTAACCCTACAATGGCCTCTAAGTGTTCAAGTGAAAGGAAGAGTTGCACGTCTCTCACTTTAAATTGAAAGCTAGAAATGGTTAGCTTAGCGAGGAAGGCATGTCCAAAACTGAGCTAGGCTGAAAGCTAAGCTTCTTGCCCCAAACAGTTAGCCAAGTTGTGAATGCAAAAGAAAGGTTATTGAAAGAAATTTAAAATGCTACTCCAGTGAACATACATATGGTAAGAAAGTGAAAAAGCCTTACTGCTGATAGGGAGAAAGTTTTAATGATCTGGGTAGAAGGCCAAACCAGCCACAACATTCCCTTAAGCCAAAGTCTGATGCAGAGCAATTCAAGGAGGTGGGCATAAGACATAACTCTCTTTATATGAAGGCTGAGAGAGGTAAGGAAACTCCAGAAGAAAAGTTTAAAGGTAGTAGAGGTTGGTTCATGAGGTTTAAGGAAAGAAGCCATCTTTATAACATGAAAGTTGCAAGGGGAAAGGAAGCAGCAAGTGCTGATGGAGAAAGTGCAGCAAGTTATCCAGAAAATCTAGCTTAGAAAATACCTGACCTGCGGACTAGGAGGCCTGGGCAGGAGGGGGCCAGGCTCCTCGTGCACCTTGAGGCCTGCTGGTGCAGGAGCAGAGCCTCCACGGGCTAAATGTAAACCAGCTGCCTGGGGCCGGAGCGGTACAGTTGGATGGGGCGGGGAAGGCTTACCTCATGAAAGAACTGTGGAAACGGCTGCTGGAAAGATAATAAAAGGATTAACTGCTATTTTAGTGGGCCATTTACTCTTCAATCAAAGTGTCTCATCTATTTCCTGTTCTCCAGAGGCTCTGAGCCCAAAATTCCTTTGTCTATTACAGCACATGGTAGCAGGGGCCTGTCATGAGAAATTAATAATTTTACAAGAAAGGGAGATTTTATTTATTTGGGTACCGGTTGAGGCCCGCCCCTCCCCTGGGTTACCTCCTGAGACAGCGTCGCAGGAATGGGGAGCACCCCCTGGGGGGCAGGGAGGCACTCAGCTCTGCAGACAACGGCACCCAGCAGGGCTGGCCTCAGGACCCCAGAGGACAAGCAGTTTATTGGGACAAGATCTATACAAACAAGAGTATCACCAAGGCTTAGAAAGATGCGGGTTCAAAATTCCACTTCAATGGTTGCTAGCTACATAACCTTGGACAAGTTACTTTTATTGTTGTTGTTATGATTATTGGCCTCTATTATTTTTGTTATTGTTTGTCTATAGCTATGTGACCTGGGGCAAATTATGCAATCTCTCTGAGCCTCAGTTTCCTCATCTCTAAAATCAGGGTTAATATTATCTACCCCATAGGGCTGCTGCAAGAACCACATCAAGTCATTGCTTAGAACAGCCCCTGTACACTGTTTGCTAGTATTAATTCTAAACCCCTCAAGAGGCAAGATAAAGTGTTCAGACAAGAGCGTGCAGAGGGCCAGCTAGACTCCACTGAAGCTTTGTTTCTTTACCTGCAAATCTCTTGGTTTTACAGGACTCTTGTAACATTACCACGGGTAAGTATAGACACAGCGTCAATATCACCTCCTTCATGAAGCCCTTCTGGGCCTCCCTTCCCTGGGGCTACACAAACTCCATTTAAGAACCTGTCTCTGATCACCACTCCCATCTCCCTCCCACCCCTAACCATGAGTCCCTAGGAGCTCTGGGTCCCCAGAGCCAGGCATGAGCCACACATAACCCAGTATTCTGTGGAGTCTGCTGAATCAAATGCAATCCTGGCAGGCTGGCCCAGGAGAAAGAACCCTAGAGAGAGATCCTGAGACCACACTGAGTTACCTGGGCCTCTCAGACTGACTCCCTGGACCTCCATTTCCCAAACTGGAAAATGGGCGGAAGGCCTAGATCATCTCCAAGGTCCCTATTGTCCAACACAGATACTCCTGGGTGCTGTGATTCCACACAAAAGGCCCTGTTGGGTAAGGCCACTAACCACACTGCTACAGGGCCAGGCCATATAAGCCTCCATGTAGGCCCCCCAGACACTGGAGGGCTGACCACAGGAGAGAGGATGTCAGGGACTGGGGCTCAGCAGTGGCCAGCTCCAGTATCTGAGTGAGGGACAGGGCCCCTCTGTCTTCTAGGACCCCTGGCCTATGACATCTGCTGGTTATTTTTTTCTGGGCAAGCGCATGCCTTTCAGTAAGCCACCTGCCACAACACCTCAAGTGAACAGGGGCATCCCCAGGATGGGCTTGGCTGCCAGCTCTCTTTCCAGCATACTCTTGGCCCAGAGGCACAGGAAGAAGTCAAATTCTAGGCCTGCTCAATCCAGCCCCTCCCCACACACCAGCACACCAACCACAGGTTCCCTCCTATTTCTATTATTTTGCAGAGGTTGTTCATGGCTTCTCACTTGTCTATAAAGTGAACTTCTAATCCTCAAGACCCAGCCTCATTGAAGCTGACTAAGCTGGCCCAGTCAGATGCCCAGCTCCCAGCTCCCCAAGGAAATGGGGCCCCAGCAGTGAACACTTGGTCCCAGAGGGTGGAATTTCTGCTGCTGGTTGCCAATGCTTCCTGCCTCTTCCCTGGTCTCTATAAATGTGGCCCTGGGCTTTGAGCAGGGACAGAGGTGTGCCCTACCTCAATGCAACCATTCCCAGACTGAGCACTCCTCCCAGCAGGTGGGGCCCAGCAACAGTGACAGCATGCAAATGAGGAGGAATTTGACTTGGGTTGTAACACTGGCCCTGCAGACCAGACACACTGCTTCCCCCTCTGCCTTAGCAATGCCCCAGTGGCGGGAAGACTGGACTGGGCCTTGGTGGCTCTGCAGCCCTTCTGCTCTGTTGGGCATCTCCCCTGGTGGTATGCAAAGCCTTGGGGCATGGGCAGTGGTTTGGCTGAGTACACAAAGGATTAAATCTATATTCCCAGCCCCAATACGGATTTCCACCGCATGACAGCAGCACACAGAAATGACCAGTTGGAAGGGCTGGAGGCTCAAGTGCCTATAGTCAATGTGTATGTGTGTGTGTGTGTGTGTGTGCATGTGTGTGTGTGTGTCTGTCTGTCTGTCTGTGTGTCTGTCTGTGTGTCTGTCTCTCTTTCTGGAAACCTTAAGTTTCAACCCCATTCAGAACACTGCAGGTACTACCCAAGGTCTTATTTGCTACCCCTTGGCCTTATCCCAAAGCCTGCCCTGGAGACTCACAGCTCCCAAGTTGGTTGCCTGTGAAGACTTAAGGTCTCTTTGGAGGCAGCCAAGACTGTGGGGTGCCCTCCCTGGGAGGGATAGTGTTAGAGGAAAGCATGTTCTCTATGATTTACTTGACCACTGGTGGGTGGGACACTGAGCATTTGCATGTAAGGGAAGGCTAGCTGAGCCTGCTTTGACCTCAGAGCACTTGTGTCACCACCTGAAAGAGTGTGTGTGACACCCAGCCAAGCGGTAAGCCTTGGGGCCGGGGAGAGGCACCTGGTGAGTACGAGGGGCCCTCTACCACGATTCCCAGTGACAAGTGTGCTGTCTTGGCTAGTGGCCACATCCACAGCACTGGTCCTTCCTCTGTCAACCACAGGGGATCTCAGACAGGTAAGGAGACCCAGGTGGCCCTCTTCCAGGGCAGTGAGGTGGTGCTGCTTTTCTGGTTAGGTTGCAGTGTGACCCGGTGGCCTTGGGAACTCACCATGCATTTGTTGGGCTTCTCCCCCGAGTGCACCCTCATATGGATGAGCAGCTTGTAGCGGGCATTGAAGGGCTTGTAGCGGCGCACGCAGCCTGCCCAGAAGCAGGTGAAGTCCTCCCCCTTGCGCTGGTCGATGTGGCTCTTCTCGATGTGCCGCACCAGCTCCTCCTGCTGCTCATAGGCTGCACAGCAGTCCACCCAACGGCAGGCCTGCCGCCTGCCCACCATCCTGCCTGCCAGGCCCAGCCCCAGCCCTCCAAGGCCAGGGCCAGGTGGCAACTGAGACAGTGGGTATGGGGGCGGCAAGCCCTGCTGCAGAGGACCAAAGAGATCTGAAAACTCGTCCTCAGGCTCCTGCTTCAGGAAGCCAGCCTTTCGGCAGGCTTCAAGTTGCAAACTGCCCTCGCGGCTCTCCATGGTTGCAGGGCTGCGTCGGGCCCTCTTGGGAGGGCCCCCCAGGTCTCCTGGCAGAGAGGGGCTCCGGAGTCCATTTATGCAGGTGACTAGAGCTGTCTGGGAGGAGCGGATGATGGAGGTGACGTCAGAGGAAGCACATGGTGAGGAGGCAGCTGAGGAGGCCGGGGGCAGGCCCAAGAGGCAGCAGCGCTTCAGGCTGTCCTCAGAGAGATGGGCATCAAGCTGGGGGCCCAGGCTGGAGCTGGGTTCACTGCCCAGAAGGTAGCAGGAAGGTGCAGGGTTGGAGAGGCCTCTGCCTGGGAGGTCCAGGTCTGTGTGTAGGTCGGTCACTGGCAGGGCCCGACAGTGGGCAGACTGGGGGGCGCAAGCTTCTGTCATGGTCCTGTAGTCAGGCAGGGACTCCTGCTTGATATGCTGTGTGGCCGGGAGGCTGCCATTCACATATGTGGCCTGGGATTGGGGTGACCTGGAAGATAGTGACCAGAGAGGCCATGAGAGGGTGGGCACCCCACAGTGAGAAGATCTAGGCAGGGGGTGGTAGGGAACCTAAGGACCAAGGGGTGGAGAAGCCCAGGGCAGGAGAGGAGGTTGAAGGCTGGAAGCAAAGAGAAAGAGAGACCAAAACTGGCAGCATGGTCAGCAGGGAAGAGTGTGGGGAGAAAAATGGATGAGAAAAGAAGAGGGGGGCTGAGGAGATGTTCAAGAAAGGCCAGAGGTCTAATCAGGAGAGTGCCAGGAAGGAGCGCTGTTTCATCCTTTTACCAAATCCAGCCCACTCTGTCCAGTACTGGACACCATCCTGTCCTGTCTCTGAGACCTCACTAGGGTGTATTCTGCCCTGTCTCCGTGACCTCCTGCAGGCACAACTTGTTTTGCTAGGCTTTGCTTTGTTGCACTTTGAAGATACCATGTGCTTTACAAATTGAAGGTTAATGGCAATCTGGCATCAAGCAAGTCTATCAGCAGCATTTTTCCAACAGCATTTGCTCACTCTGTGTCTCTGTGTCACCTTTCGGTAATTCTCAGAATACTTCCTTTTTTTTCATTATTATTATATTTGTTATGGTGACATGTGATCAGTGATCTTTGATGTTACTATTACAATTGTTTTGGGGTGCCACAGTGTCCATTTAAAACAGTGATCTTCATTGATAAATTTTATGCATATTCTGACTGCTCCACCAACCAGCCATTCCCCGTTTCTTTCCCTCTCTTTGGGGGTCGCTAAGTCCTTCAGACACAACAATATTGAAATTAGGCCAATTAGTAACCCTACAATGGCCTCTAAGTGTTCAAGTGAAAGGAAGAGTTGCACGTCTCTCACTTTAAATTGAAAGCTAGAAATGGTTAGCTTAGCGAGGAAGGCATGTCCAAAACTGAGCTAGGCTGAAAGCTAAGCTTCTTGCCCCAAACAGTTAGCCAAGTTGTGAATGCAAAAGAAAGGTTATTGAAAGAAATTTAAAATGCTACTCCAGTGAACATACATATGGTAAGAAAGTGAAAAAGCCTTACTGCTGATAGGGAGAAAGTTTTAATGATCTGGGTAGAAGGCCAAACCAGCCACAACATTCCCTTAAGCCAAAGTCTGATGCAGAGCAATTCAAGGAGGTGGGCATAAGACATAACTCTCTTTATATGAAGGCTGAGAGAGGTAAGGAAACTCCAGAAGAAAAGTTTAAAGGTAGTAGAGGTTGGTTCATGAGGTTTAAGGAAAGAAGCCATCTTTATAACATGAAAGTTGCAAGGGGAAAGGAAGCAGCAAGTGCTGATGGAGAAAGTGCAGCAAGTTATCCAGAAAATCTAGCTTAGAAAATTAATGAAGGTGGCTACACTAAATTACAGATTTTCAATGTAGATAGAACAGCTTTCTTTTGGAAGAAGATGCCCTGTAGGACTTTCATCACTAGAGAGAAGTCAATGCCTGGCTTCAAAGGACAGCCTGACTCTCTTGTTAGGGGTTAATGCAGCTGGTGACTTTAAGTTGAAGCCATTTACCACTGGCCATTCTGCAAGTCCTAGGTCACTAAGAATTATGATAAATCTACTCTGCCTGTGCTGTATAAATAGAACAAAGCCTGGATGACAGCACATCTGTTTACAACATGGTTTACTGAATATTTTAAGCCCATCATTGAGACCTACTACTCAGAAAAAAATATTCCTTTCAAAATATAACTGCTGGAAGCAAGAAAGATTAAACACAATGGCAGTGTGAGAAGTGAGGCAGAAACTTCCTCCCTAAACCACATATAACACGAAAATACAGCAAATACAACTAATCCTGGAAGAGTGACCAGAAAGAACACTGTAATGGACAGCCTTCATTTGGGGAAAAGAGAAGACCTCACAGAAAAGGGTAAAGTAGCAAAGCTACGATCCGGAGGGTCCCAAGCCCTCCTCCCACCCCAGCTCACAGGTGGGAGGAAGAGGAATGGAGCAGGGAGGGAGTACTAGCCCAGGACTGCTAAATACCCACCCCTGGAGATCTGCTCTGAGAGGAAAACCCCACATTACATGTTCCTCTGGAGATTAGAGGCATTGGAAGGCAGAGACAGGTGGAACACTCAGAGGGACTGAGATTCCAGCTGCTTGTGGAGAACAGGTACCCACAACCGGCTGCTCCGGGATAAAAGAGAGGCAGGCACTTTGAAAGACTTCCCAATAGTGAGAGAGCTGCTAAAGGGGCAAGAATTTCTCTCTCAAGAGAAAGGACAAGTGGACAAAACTGTCCCACTACACTCAGCCCAGCAGGTTGGGAACTCTCAGGAGCTCACATGCTCCATCCACTTGGCTGGCAATGCAGCACCGAGGCCCCCCACTGTGATATGCAGCCTGCCCACTCCTTCCTCCCAGCTGGCACTGGTTTGCAAACCTGCTCCCCCCACCATTGTGCCAGGCCAGCCAGAAGGCAGCCCTGCCTATAGCAGCTACAGGGGCATAACATAGAGGCTCGTCCCTGTGCACTTGGCCCACTGGGTCTAGCAGTGGAGGCAGGCACAGTGGCTGGGAAGCAGGAAAGAGCTCTTTCCTCCTGGAAGGCACTAGTGCCATGTGCCTGCAACCCTCACCATTGCTCCAGGGGTTGGGAAGCTCCAGAGAGTAGAGCTTCTGGGCACTAGAGGGTACCACCTACACAAAGTTATTCCACAGGAATCATTAGAAATAAAAAGAATCTGGTGCAAACCAAAATCCCTCAAACACCAGAAAGAGGGTTAAATGAAACTGAAATAAGTAATCTTCCTAATAAAGATTTCAAAATAAAAATCATAAGCATGCTCACGAAGCTACAGAAAAATATTCAAGGCCTCAGGGAGGACTTCAAGAAAGAGAAACTTTGAAAAATACAGTATCTGAAATGAAACCTATAATGGAGGGGTTAAAAGCAGATTAGATCAGGAAGAGGAGATGGTAAATGAAATAGAAATTAGAGAACAGGAATACAAAGAAGTTGAGGCACAGAGAGAAAAAAGGATCTCTAGGAATGAAAGAATATTAAGAGAATTGTGTGACCAACCCAAATGGAACAATATTTGCATTATAGGGGCACCAGAAGAAGAAGACAAAGAGAAAGGGATAGAAAGTGTCTTTGAGGAGGTAACTGCTGAAAACTTCCCAATTTGAGGAAGGAAATAGTCTCTCAGGCCACAGAAGTGCTCAGACCTCCCAATACAAGGGACTCAAGGAAGAAAACACCAAGACATAATAATTAAAATGGCAAAGATCAAAGACAAAGACAGAGTATTAAAAGTGGCCAGATAGAGAAAAAAGATCACATACAAAGGAAAACCCATCAGGCTATCATCAGACTTCTCAACAGAAACCTTACAGGCCAGAAGGGAGTGGCATGATATATTTAATGCAATGAAGAAGGTGCTTGAACCAAGAATACTCTACCTGGCAAGATCATTATTTAAATTTGATGGAGGGATTCAACAATTTTCAGATAAGTAAAAGTTGAGGGAATTTACTTCCTACAAACCATCTCTATAGTGTATTTTGGAGGGACTGCTATAAATGGAAATGCTCCTAAGGCTAAATAGCTGTCACCAGACAAAATGAAACCACAATAAAGGAAGTGGACCAGTTAATTGTTAAGAAAATGCAAAATTAAATCAACTACTCACAAAGCCAGTCAAGGGACACACAAAGAGTACAGAATATGACACCTAATATATCGACAGTGGAGGAAGAAGAAAAAGAAGGGAGAAAAAAACTTTTAGGTTGTGTTTGAAATAGCATAATGAGTTAAGGGAGACTGTTAGATAATAAAGAAGCTGCCCTTTAAACTTTGGTAACCACAAATCCAAAGCCTGAAATGGCAATAAGTACATATCTATTGATAATCACCCCAAATGTAAATGGACTGAATGCAACAATCAAAAGACAGAGTTACAGAATGGAGAAAAAAATAAGACCCATCTATATGCTGCCTATAAGAGACTCACTTCAAACCTAAAGACATACATAGACTATAGTGAAGGGATGGAAAGAGATATTTCATGCAACTAATAGGGAGAAAAAAGCAGGAGTTGCAGTACTTGTGTTAGACAAAATAGGCTTCAAAACAAAGAAAGTCACAAGAGACAAAAAGGATATTACATAATAATAAAGGGGTCAGTCCAACAAGAGGATATAACCATATAAATATCCATGCACCCAACATAGGAGCACCTAAGTATGTGAAACAAATACTAACAGAATTAAAGGGGAAAATAAAATGCAATGCATTCATTTTAGAAGACTTCAACACACCACTCACTCCAAAGGACAGATCAACCAGACAGAAAATAAGTAAGGAGACAGAGGCACTGAACAACACATTAGAACAGATGAACCTAACAGACATCTACAGAACACTCCACCCAAAAGCAGCAGGATACACATTTTTCTCAAGTGTACATGGAAAATTTTCTAGATCACACACTAGGACACAAAAGAGTGTCAGTAAATTCAGAAGGATTGAAATTGTACCAGCCAGCTCTCAGACCACAAATGTATGAAACGAGAAATAAATTATGCAAAGAAAACAAAAAAGCCCACAAACACATGGAGGCTTACCAACATGCTCCTAAATAATCAATGGATCAATGACCAAATAAAAACAGAAATCAAGCAATATATGGAGACAAATGAAAACAACAACTCAACATCCCAAAATCTGTGAGATGTAGGGAAGGAAGTTCTAAAAGGAAAGTATATAGCAATATAGGCTTACCTTAAGAAAGAAGAACAATCCCAGTTGAACAGTCTAAACTCACAATTAATGAAACTAGAAAAAGAAGAACAAAGGAGGCCCAAAGTCAATAGAAGGAAGGACTTAATGAAGATCAGAATGGAAATAAATAAAAATGAGAAGGATAAAACGAAAGAAAGAATCAATGAAACCAAGAGCTGGTTCTTTGAGAAAATAAACAAAATAGATAAACCCTTGCCAGACTTTTCAAGAAAAAAAGTCTACTCACATAA